AAATAAAAGGCCATTGTGAAGGATTTTGCTAGGCATGAGGTAAGGAATGGAGAAAGAGAAAGAAGATTGGTGCATGTGATATTTTGGTTCCATGTGAAACAGTTGTCATTACCACACTCATATGGACATCCTGGCAAACACCAGCTACTGACACTGCAGCTTCATTTACCAAACTGGGGAAACTGTGGCTCTAATACCTTTATTAGCCCCTCACTCTTTTCAGACTTGCCAGAGGGCCTTTAATAGCTGCCCACTGGAAACTGGCAGCAAGATCATTCCTCATCTCCCTTCTGGCATTTATATTCTATAACATTTTCAAGTTCCATGGAGAGCATGTCTTTGGCAGGGAAGAAAATGTGATTTTAAAGTGATAGGCACGGACCATCCTCAGTCACAGGAACGGAAAAAGAGCTGCTGGCAAAGTCTCCTACCCCCAAAGGAAACCCTTCTGGAGCAAGTGGAGGCATCGCCCTTCCCCCTGAAGCTTGCTTTATGTTCTGCTGGAATGCAACACAGTAAGTCAAGCAAAGTCTTTTCTCTACCTCAAGCATTAGCAAGGGCCCTTAAAAACCACCAACACCACTAAAACCCACAGCAGCAGCCTAACTCCCCTATCTGCATTTTGGGGAGATGCAGCTGTGGAGATGGAATAAGAGCCTTTCATCCTCCTATTTGGTGGCAGTCTTGAGACCCAAAAGGCTCCTCAGAGCTGCCACTATTCACAGACAAACTCCCTAGGGAGCTACTGTGACTGTGACAGTACAGATGGAAAGCCTTTAGAAAGCCTTTAATAATTGCAACCTGTCACACACACTCCTTCCATATAGTTTATGTTCCTGCTCAAGAACTGATAATATTCAACTTCAATTTTCTGTGACCAAGAAGAAGCCACAGTGCCTGTGTCTCTAGTGTGAAAGTGTAAGGATTAGCATATCCTAAGTGCAGACTTTCTTATGTACTGATTATTACAGAACCTTTAGAACTAAAAATTACTATGATCTCTTTACTCCAAATTCCTAAAAACCACTGAGAAAATACCACAACCTTCTCACCCCAGATCATTCCCTGATTCTAGAGAACACTTGTTATTTCCAAGAAAACTTGCTCTTTCCAGTACTGGTCAAAGAGAAATCTCTGTAAAAGATTCAGCATCATCTCCAGCTTTGCCCCTCCTGAGCAACTCATGTCCCGATACCAGATGCTGAAGGATCCTCATTACTGTGCCAGGTTGCAACAACCCTCCCCAAACAGCAGGAGCAGCACTGATATGGAAGCAGTTAGCTTGACGGCACATTCGGAAGAATGAGAACACCAGCTTTTTGCTGGTGACATTGAGCACTCTCCAGAGACCTTTGCTCTCTCCAACTGTCCACACAGGCCGCTCCTGAGCAGTCTGGCAGTTGTATGAGAGTTTTCTGGGATGCCCTGGGCTCTCCGTTCCCTGTTGAAAATCCTGGCCAAGAGCCACCATGGTCACAAAAGGAAGCAGGTTTTAGCCTCTTTTTTCTGAATGGTGCTGCACAAGAGAACCTTCCCCCTCCACCCCTGTCTGCCCATTCAACTTGACTTGTTGACAAGGAGCCAAGGAATACAACAAAAAGAAATCGGACTTTATGTGAGAGGCTATGACTCACTTACAAATGAAGTGTTGCATGCATTGTGGGAATCTGTAAGGGCGGCATCAGTTTCACAGGTGAAGAGTGCATGCAACACCCCAGCACAGCTAAACTAACTCAGAGAAGATATAGGCAGAAAATAGTATTTTCATTCCACAAAGAGTCTGGCTTCTGAAAAAAAGTTTTGCCGTCATGAAAAAGAGCCAAAGATAAGAACTCTGGAAGTGGTTATCCATTATCTATTATCCATGAATAAAGCAAGAGTGGAGAAAAATTACTTTCAGTTGAGATGATGGGCACTTGAGAGTGTAGCAACTTTGGTATTTTCTAACCCAAAAAAACAACCAAGACTTGTCTCCTTCCCGCCTCTGCTCAGCTGAATGTCTAATGACCTGGCTCCTATGAGGTGGAAAAATGGGTCAGAAATTTCATCCTGTAGTGGAAGCAAGAAGCACTCCTGTGGCACAATATTGCTCTGGACAAAACCATTTCATTGGATTTTTTCCCCTAAAAGATCTTTTAAAAATCTGGATTAAAAAAAAGTATAGACAGTTAAATAGGAGCTAAAACAAGGCAGAGGGGCAGAAAAAGAAGAGAGGATGTGCCTAGCATGTGCCTGCACATCTTTCCCCCTATTCAGGCACTGGCTGACTAACTTCTCCCTCACTCCTCTCCTATGCAACTGAGCATATGTGGTGGAAATGCAGCAATACTTGGGAGGCTCCTGCAGGACCTTCACAAGGTATGTTGATTCTTCACCAGCACATTTACAACTTTCTGCTAACCCTAGAAAATCTCTCTCTGACCCCACACTCTGTGCAATGCTCCAGGGATACCACCATGCTGGCTACCAGGGGCATGTTAGAAATCTTATTCTTTGCTGTTTTGGGCATATATCTGTCACTACTTAGATACTGTAGAACAAAAACAGTGAACAATAAAGGAACTGTGCCCAAAAGCAAAGAAAGATGGAGTTGTAGTATCATCCAGCTGTCACAGAAGAACAGACATGGCACCACCACAAGCAAGGCCTGCAGGAGTTGCACACAAGGAAGGACCTGGCAAGCAGGTCCTTGCTCCAGGATCTTGCGGCAGAAGCAGTTTTGAATGTGATGCGAAAGGCACTGGCAGGCCATTGGACCTAATGCTATTGCTAAGTTTGAGATGCCTATGAAAGAAGTTGATTCACACCATCTAGAAATACCTGTTTCAGAAGGAGGTATCCAGTGGGCAAAATAAGAACATCTTCCTTATGTGTGCATCATAGCACTAGATAACAAATTTCATTTCACTTTGCGTTTATCCTCATCTGCCTACTTGCACATTCATGCTTTCCTCTTCAGCAATAAGTTTTGTTACTATATTCTGCTATAGCAATAAGAAAAGTTTACTTACTGCAAAAAAATGGTGGCACAGTTCTGCCAATCCTAACCCTCCTTTAGCAAAACTAGCCTGTTTCAGTTTGCTCAGGATCTTGCCTGTCTAGGGTCATTTGCTGCAGTGCCACCAAGGTCAGTAACGGGTTTCTGCAGTGTCCCACCAAGCTACTGTGGTCAGGGCCGACTCTAGATGAGTTTTAAAGAGCAGACAGGAACCTAACAGATGAAAAGAAAAGGATGATTTTCCTTGCATGAGCTTAGGCTCTTCTTAGTGCAGACAGGAAATACAGCACTCCATCCTGATAACTTCAAGCAACACCTCATTAGGAGAAAAGATTAAAACCCAACAATCTTCTCATCAGAAGGCTCTGATAGGTATTTACTTCTTTTGGGTAAGTCACTGAACCTGGCCATTCTGGCAAATTTGCTACTAAAGTACAGTAAGAGTTGCTGTAAGGGGAAACCTGTGTAAGTGAAGGTGACTACATCAACATCTGATAGGCCTGGAGTCAAGTCTTAGGGGAAGACTCCTTTTCCAGCTTCTGGGAAAGGATGAGGAGATGTCTAGTGAGCAAAAAGCCAAAAACTCATGCAAGCAGTCCTTCAGCAAGCAGCCTAGGCTGAGGACCTGGACACAAGTGTCTGACTACCCCAGAGTCCCACTACTGGAACTCACCCTTGGGTGCCAACAGTGGCATCAGCTGCAACTCAGCAGCTACCCTGCCACGATCATGGCAGACAGAGTAATGACCCAGTCTGGCTTGCAACACCTCTGGTCAGATGAGTCAGACATGTGATTCATTCAGTGCTCAAGGCCAGTATCTCCTCCAAACATCTTTGTCTTTCCCTTCTCATTTTACATCTCTGTCTCCAGTTCTCCTAAATTCCAATCAAGTAAAAGTTAAATAAATACAGAATTCCAAAATTGCATTCCCTCCCATTTCTCCTCTGTTTTCATGTAACTGTTTAAGTTGGACAATACGATACAGAAAAGGTAAATCTGCAAGCAGCTATTGCCTCCTTTGCATGGCATTATCTTTCCCACTGTCATTGAAATCACCCTTTTCATTCCATCTGTAACACATTGCTTGAAAAATGACTAGTAATAATCAAGGAAACAAGATTTTTCCCTCCCACACAGAACCATCACTCTTGCAATCTTGTTTATAAGCGATATTCCTTTCCCCCACCTCTCTTGCTGTTTCTTTCTAGTTTGTAAGCTCTTTGATATGGGGACTACAGCTATGTGGGAATTCTCAAAGTCTTAATCAGCTCCAAGGTGTTCCACCCATGCAAATACATGAATACTGAATCGGTGGATGAGAGAGAGGAAGGAACATCCATGTAATTTAACATTTTGTTTCCCCAGTTGACTACTGTACATATTGTTACATCCCTATGAAGGGAACTACATGAAATTTTTTTGGCAACTTCGGTTACAGAGAATTTCATGGATCTACAGTACAGTAAGTTGTCTACAGTACAAGCAAGTACTGATGTATGCATTTAGAAACAAGATCAGTTACTCTGAAAAAGCATCTTCTTCATGACGGCTCCTGGATACCTAACTATATAACATGCAACAGCACCACAAATATTCCAGTACAACCACTTTCACCCATGATGGTGAAGCTGCAAAATGAGAAGCTTCTACATGGCTTGGCTATATATTTTTGTCCTCTGAGAAAAATCCATCCTACTTGTCAAAATAATAGTAATACTACTAATAAAACCAAAAAAGCATTACTCCTGGATATCTGTAGCAACCCTTGATAATATGTGAAGAGAGCTAGAAGACCTTTCTCAATTCTGACTTCCTCCAACAACTAAAGCATCCCAGTAGTTGCAGTGTGTGTGCGTGTCACACCACACTTGCAGATCACACACAGTCCACATTTTTTTCCCAAGTAAATGTCTTTGGTTAGTTTGCGAGTCCTTCCAAGGAAACAAAAGAGTTCCTGTCCTTTGATTCTTTCCAAACTCCTGGATCACAATCATCACTCACCTGTGCATGTTTCCATTGGTGGTGAAGGACTGTCCACATACTGAACATTTATAAGGCCTTTCACCTGAGTGCACCAGCATGTGGCGATCAAGGGAGCTCGCTGAGCTCAGAGACTTTCCACAGATGCTGCAGGAATGGTCTGTCCCTCCAGTGTCAGTGTTATGCTAGAGAAAGCAACGATTTTTTTTTCATTGAATGCCCCTTCTGAAGTGCCAGTAAAATATTAGTGACAACATTTGAAAAAGCAGCTTTAAAAAGCCACGAGGCACAACACCTTATATTAAGGTGTGCTCTGTATATACCACTCCTTCCCAGCCCTCCCCCCAACTCCACCCCTACCCTTCATTTTTAACTACTTAATGCACCAGCGTGAGCAGCTGTTTCATACAGCCTGCAATGCCTGCCACATGCAGCATTTCTGATGGATGTGCAGCAGAAGAGCTAGAAAGGGACTCAGAAACAACCCATCAGACTAATGGTACCTTGGGATACTTAGAGCTGTGCAGTGGCTTGGGGTTGGGTGAGCAGTTAAGGGGGAAAAAGGAAAGTAATTATGGCCATTAGCTGCTGTGCTATATGCACCACTCTTTCCTTTCTTGCATTCAGAGACTTAAAGATTTTTCCACATACAAAAACCCCCCAAAAACAAACAAACACAACAACCAAAAAATCCAGCCAGGAGAGTAAAAAATAAAATAAAATAATGGTTACAATACAGGAGGGAGAACTGAGGTAGTAAGGATCTTGTGGACTCACAGTGGTGAACCACAGCCTCAGCATCCAAAGCAGAACCTTCTGACACAGAAAAGGCCATACCTCCTTATTAGGCATGCATATACTTCAAGAGGAGTAAGAAAAGGCCTTTAGCTGACAAAAATGTACATTCCCTATTTAAAAAGTGTATTTTCAATTCTGCCTCCCAGGATTGTGAGGCAGAATTAAATGCTAGACCCTCTGAAGAACGGAGAGCCTTTCCTACACTGAGAAGACTTAAAAATTGTTCCTTCCTGCTTCTTAATTTGCATGATCAGTAATGAGATCTGTACTCAAAGAGGATAACAAAACAGGACTTGTGCCTCATGATGGAAGTGGTTTTCCGGATCCTTGGGATACCTTACACTATGCAGAACAGGACATACATCCTTGTTTGAGCTAAGATGGGGGTTAGTGCTGGGGAAGGAAGGGGAGTACCCACCTTGGGGTTCAGTTTGGGGGGGAAGGTTTAATAGAAAATACAAGGGGAAGGCTAAAATAAAAGCAAAAACAAAGTTATACTGGAAACATTTCTGGTTTGCTTATGAAATTGTTTTTTACCACTGCAAAATGCATCCTGGCAAACCAGACACTCTTACTAGCAGCCAGAAATCAAGAGCTAGTATTCTGCATACCTGACGAATGTGCATAGTTAGCTGGTGCTGTGTAGTGCAAATCTTTTCACACAGAGGACAGGTATAGGAAGACTTCTCCTCTTTTGTTTCCTGTGAACAAAACAAAAACAAAAATTCAGGCGGAATATTGACATAAAAGAACTCAAAAGCTGTTACTGCTGGCGATGGAAAAATCATCCATTGTAAGTATAAAAAGGCCACGGCTGCTGCTAACAAAATAACTTGTACATATATGTTTATCATCCTGCTACACCCCTCATGAAGTTTCAGAAACTTCTGAATTTATAATTAGGGCCATTTCAACTACTGCAGAAGTTCAGCAGCTACTTTAACAGCACACGGATACTCAGCAGTAGCAGTCTAGGACAGGAAGTGAAGACAATTATTGTGACCAGCTCAAACTGCCAGGAGAAATTTAGGTGAGCAGAAAGTAATCCCTGGAATACTGCCAGAATATGTGAGCAAGTGCCACTAATCTCCCCAAAAGATCTTTAATGAGCACAAATCTCAGGGACTTCAGGTTTTCCACCCTATCTCAACAGCAAGACACTAGCTCAGTGCCCTTCTCTAGGGGCTGTGTGTTCTGCTCTGTGGCTGACTCAGAAGGAAGAGTGGCGCTTATTGAATCACCAGCACCATTTCCCTTAGCATCCTGTGTTTCTCCCGGAAGCATCCCAGCCAGGCACACCAGCCAGGCCCAACCCTTCACAAGCTTGCAGGATCTGATGAGATCATAGCGAGAAAGAGGTGACAATGCAGGAGTGTACGTGACTCAAAATGAACACATTATGAACCCCATTATTCTCCACCCAGGTGAGAAGCAGGAGTAACCATCCTCAAACCACGAGTACAAACTATGAAGCCAATCCAAGAGCTCAGCCTGATTTAAGTATGCCCTTGGGACACCAAGCAAAGCCACCACTCTTTCAGCCAAGGATGAAGTGGCACTCTCGCAGGAACCAAAGGCATTTGCCTGAATTGTCTGCAAGGATGGCTACTGCGTGGCATAAAGGGTATTTTCACCACCTTACTAAGAAGCACAAGAACAGCTTCTGCACCAAAGCCATTATATTAAAAGCCACTGAAAATTAAATCTCAGCTTTCTGTAGAATGATGCAAATCTTCATCAGCTAGATAGAACCTGTTAATTGCCTGTTAACTACACTTCTGGTGACAAAGAGAGTACAAAAACCATCTCTGTGTGACTGATGGGAAAGTACAGCAATTATGCCAAAAGGACATGTTCAACTGGACCTCTTTGCTGGCTATTTTAAGTATCATTAGTAAAATCATGAAAACAAGCAAAAAATGAAGCTTTAGCTCTTTAGCAGTAGCTCTTTATTTGGGAGGGAGTTGATGGGTATGCATGTATCTATGCTTTTCCTCTCTCCACACAACTTTTTTCCCCCCTCTACCATCCCAAAAGTTATCAACTTGGAAACAACCACTTCCAGACTGTCAGACACAAGCGTTTGTGGTGAATACTGAGAATGACTAACCCAAGTCTCTGTGACAAATTATTTGGCATGTTCGGAGGAAAGATGCTGACACAGTGCTCTAGAAAGCATTTTTAAGTCTCAAAAAAGCAGTATTACTTCCTGTATGACTTGGGGAACCATGCTACAGAGACCCCAATTAAAATCTAATACCGTGTTTTCAAAAGCAGCACCAGGATAATTTTCTATTAACTTCAGTGACCTGTGGACATGGATGAAGAGTTATTTTCCCATTTTGCATGAAGTAAACAAAACTTGTGACTTCACCTCTAAAAGTACTGGGACTGAAACAATCAGGTTCTCCCACTCCTCCCTACCATTTCTCACGTACATCTTTTCTAACTCTATTTCAGGGCTCTCCATCCTAAAGGTAATCACTGTAGCCCATGCACACAGGCCAAGGCCTAATATACTATTTACTTGCAAAACATTAGAAAGCAAGCAAGAAAGGCTGCCATTATGAAGTTTGAACATCCCAAGAAATTTCCAGTTCATTACCTTAGTGCCCCCCATCCTGTTTATATACAAACATATAATTTGCACACATTCCATATTACTTATACAACTTCAATTTTACTATATGCCACCTTTCTGCGGAGTAATGTTTAGCTCCAATTACACTGCAACCCTGTTAAAGTTGGCTCAGGACAGAGAACAAACACACTGTGCTCCGTGAGGAAAATCCCTGCAGCTGTGCTGACAGTTTAGATGGTGTTTAATCCCCCGGGTATTTCTATGAAATTATCAACCTACTACTTTTATTATTTGCACACCCCCCCCCCCCCTTCCCAAGTGCTGCAGTTCTACATAGAATGCACTTGTTTCAAAGCCTGCTTTCTAGACTGCCTGCTCTTCAAATCAGCAAATTAACAGAATATAGAGTAATTACTGGTTCACCTTGAAGCAAAGATCAGAAACACACTACAGCTCAGCCAGAGCTGATTAGTATTGAACCTGGGGTTTATTATTAACTAAAACTCAAACTTTCTCCAATGGTCACACAGGGTACACGCTGCATACCATAACACAGCTCAAGCAAATCCAGGGTAGCTACAATAGGAATGCTGTTGAGTGACCCAATTCAGACCAAAAAATATCAGCATCCTTACTGTAAAAGCACCCCCACTCACAAATTTAAAACATTTAAAACTTGGCTACCCCACTGGAGCCAGGTTGCTGAAGACACACTTCCTGAACTGGAAGAGAGAATTAGCAGCTAATTTGTTAGCTACTCTCTCTCCAGTAAGTCAAGCTGGCATGATTGCTCTACATTCAACTCATGGTAAATGCTTTTGCAGTTGTGCATTAGGTCTGTTTGTTTTAAACCAGCACAAAGAAACCCCTTTATCACACTTTTCATTTTCTTGGAGAGCAAAGTAAATGAGAAATTAAAGTGGATGCAGGCTGATGTGAGAACACGTTTATGAGACCGTGGGTAGACTACAGCCAAGATAAAGTCAGCATTATAAAGAGAACGATAGACTTTGGGACAAAGGTTCAGGGCAAAATGTTTCACTGCCAACTCATGGGAAACAGTGGTCAGGCCCAGAAAACTAGCTGTTATTATCCTTGAAATTATAATAAGGGGCACATTCTGACCAGAATCTGAGATCTGTGTTCTGCTACACAATGAAACAATCCAGTGCTTTCATTCTGCTATGCTGGAAGTGGAAATTTGCTGTATTAGAACTCGCTAACCAGACTGATACCCACTTAATATTTCACATCTCACTTCTATTTTCTCAGCAGTGTAGCGATTTGCCCCTCTGGCGATAACGACCTTTCAGCCTAAAAACAAATAGGCTATTTACAATGTTTTCAATGTATTTGTTTATTTTTACGCTGTAAGAATCCCTCTTAATCCTCTCACATTTACTCTCAAGCTTCCTTTGATTCGATGCCCATCGAAATATCAGGTGGAATAAAGGTCACTAACACTAATAAACTTCCCTGAAGCCAAACCACATGGTGTACTGACGGACGGCTGTGTAACAGCACTGCTACTGAGACTAGTCTGGACTCCAGTGCCTCACTTCACATGACGAAATCAAGGAACGAGGGCAGCCCCTGAGTGGAAACACTGCAAATAAACCTTAAAGCCAGGTGTTGAGACAAAACAATCCCACACAGTTGCTCGTATGCTGCCCAGGCTCTTCATTTAAGAATGTTCGTTTATAGTTAATGGCTTTTAACTCCTTCCAAGAAAAAAAAAAATCCAAGACAAGTCATAAGTCTGTCAACTGGGCAGCTACTCGACAAGCTATTAATAAACTACTATAGGAACATCACATGAGTCATGCCTCTCAACCTTTCTGGTCCCTGTTACATCTTGATTCATTTATAAATTTTCCATGCTTCACTGCAAGCTCTAAAGTCAAATGGACACATGAATTTGGGGAATTTCTTGATAGGCTGCAGCACCTTCATTGGTAGGGGCTTGGCCCAGCAGGAGAAAAGCATGGATATAAATAATCACAGCTTTAACTGATACGACTCTCTCCTTTCATTTTAGAGTAATACTGCTATCAACTAGTGCCATCAACTGGTAAATGGAAAAAAACTGATAAAAGCTACATATATTTGCTTTGCAAGATTTGTACAAAGCATTCTGCAATAGCTCTTCACAGTTTTATCAACAATGAAGGGCACCTTACACTACGCACCTGTGAAATGAGTGTCTCAATGGATGTTTTGTTTTAGTACCACCTTTAATCTTCCATCACTTGAATCTTTCCCAGGGACAGCCACACACCTCATGAGGGGTCCCAAATGATGGCAGCACCAAGCCTCCTGCCTCACTGCTCTGCTCCTCTCCAACTACTTCTTTTTCCCTAGTTTCATGAAATAATTGGTCCCCCAACAGATGAAGTGAATACAAGAGCCTGAAGAAAGGATGCATCAGGGAAGAAGCAGCAATTCTTAGGTGGCTTTGCCACTGCATGATACAAGAGCTCATGCTCAAATGTTTTATGTGTGAATGCAAGCAAGCAGACCCCTTTGATTTACAGTTTTCTAAAGTTATGTTCTGGAGAGCGACCAGAAAATACACACAGAGGAGCAATGGTGGAGGCAAGAAATACCCGCTGAGGGAGAAGGCGGCAAAACAGTCGAAGAACATCATTATGTCTTCCCACTTCCCATGCAGTTGTCTCCCTTTTGCCATCCCTCTGGGTTTACAAACCCCACATTTGGGTTTACATACCTGGTTTCTCCTGCCAATCCGATTTGGTGCAGGAGACTTCGAGGGGGATTTGACATTTTGAGAGCTCCCGCCATTTTCAGCAATCTTCCCCACATTCATCACTGCTGACATCATGGCGTCAATGGAGGACAAGTCTGCTCCGTCCAAACTGTTTGGTGGGCTTGGTGATACCTGGTAGCTGCTTAAGCATTCCAGCTGCTTCTCTGGAACTAAAAACACATAGGAGTTTCTACGCCATCTAAAATAAAACCAACCCAAACCCCCACATGGTTTCCAGCTGCTTGTAACTTGCAACACACTCTACTGGATCATCACAGAGTACAGGCGACAGCCCATAATAATTGCAATTCTTCTAACAAGAGAAGTTTCTTGTATTGGAAAGCATAGGACAAAGTGTACATTACCTTCACATAGGACATGCATGTTATGTTCATTTTCAACTTTAATTCAGTTTGGGGCTTACAGAGTGATACACACTTACTGTAAAATGGTATTATTCGTGGTACCTGGTGATCACCATGAACTAGTAGGGCAGTACAGATGAATGCATGCTCTGGCAAGCACAATTGTTCAAGCAAGAACTTATTTGAACGGAACTGCACAATTAAGGCATTAGCAACACAGCGTAGGATACTGGATCCTCCTTATAGTATAGCTTAATCCAGCTCTGCATATGGAGTAAGCTAACTTAGAAAAAAACGCAACCAAAATAAGACACCAAATTCCCCCAAATGCCTCTTTACTACCACAGCTGGCATTTATTTAGATTTCTTTCTACAAAGCCATGCTGGCCCATGGAGCATATGTACTACACACATAAATAATGCCACAGCTAAAGCTGCTCAGATTCAGACTTCTCCATCACACTCTGTATGTAGCAAGGATTCTAACAAATTCAAAATACACCTAAAATCTCATCTCCGGTTTCTCAACATACAGACATGTCAAACACAAGGTAAGGCCTTCCACTTTCCTCCTTATGAGTTTGAAATGGGAAATACTTTCAAACTGAACATTCTGTTCCTCAAAAAGAAGTCTCTCCAAAAAACAGGAACACCCTGTAAGTCTATTGCTCTGTCAACCCTGATGGAGAGCAAAACATCTTAATGTGTGATGTGAGAAAGTCACTGAAACACAAGAGGGTGTGAGGGTGCACAAGGAGGAACATGTTTGTGAACATCTGATCTCTGCATAATACTGTCTTTGGAAGATAAGCTTGAGTATTATAAACAGGTGTTTTTTGAGGCTAAGTAATGTGGTGCCAAGCTACCAGGAGCCAAGAAAATCTTAGTTTGGAAGTAATGGTAGCCGAGTATTCATGTGCCCATGCTAACCTATTTTATGCTTTTCAGACAGATGGTCTTGGAAGGCAGATGCAGGGACTGGGAGAATGAAGACCATAGGTCCACTGTAGGAAAGGATCTGGTTCGATCAAGACCATCTTAAAAATCTGAACATGCACAAGTCCATGGGACCTGATGAAATCCATCTGCGGCTCCTGAAGGAGCTGGCAAATGAAGTTGTTAAGCCACTGTCCATCATATTTGAGAAATCATGGCAGTCAGGTGACGTTCCCGATGACTGGAAAGAGGGAAATATAACCCCCATTTTCAAGAAGGGGAAAACGGATGACCCGGGGAATTACAGACCAGTCAGTCTCACCTCTGTGCCTGGCAAAATCTTGGAGCAGATTCTCCTGGAAGGCATGCTAAGGCACATGAAAAACAACAAGGTGCTTGGTGACAGCCAGCATGGCTTCACTAAGGCGAAATCCTGCCTGACCAATTTGGTGGCCTTCTATGATGGGGCTACGGAACTGATGGACAGGGGTAGAGCAGTTGATGTCATCTACCTGGACTTGTGTAAAGCGTTCGACACTGTCCCACACGACATCCTTGTCTCTAAATTGGAGAGACATCAATTTGATGGATGGACCACTCAGTGGATAAAGAACTGGCTGGATGGCTGCACACAAAGAGTTGTGGTCAATGGCTCAATGTCCAGCTGGAGACCAGTAACGAGTGGTGCCCCTCAGAGATCGGTGTTGGGACCGGTCTTGTTCAACATCTTTGTCAGTGACAGGGACAGTGGGATTGAGTGCGCCCTGAGCAAGTTTGCCGATTACACCAAGCTGTGTGGTTCGGTTGATACACTGGAGGGAAGGAATGCCATCCAGAGGGACCTTGACACGCTTGTGAGGTGGGCTGATGTCAACCTCATGAAGTTTAGCCATGCCAAGTGCAAGGTCCTATACTTGGGTTGGAGCAATCCCAGGCACAGCTACAGGCTGGGCAGGGAAGAGATTCAGAGCAGCCCTGTGGAGAAGGACCTGGGGGTGTTGGTTGATGAGAAAATGAACATGAGCCGGCTTCAGTGCGTGCTCACAGCCCAGAAAGCCAACCATATCCTGGGCTGCATCAAAAGGAGCGTGACCAGCAGGTCGAAGGAGGTGATCCTGCCCCTCTACTCTGTTCTCGTGAGACCTCACCTGGAGTATTGTGTACAGTTCTGGTGTCCTCAACATAAAAAGGTCATGGAACTGTTGGAACAAATCCAGAGGAGGGCCATGAGGATGACTGGGGGACTGAAGCACCTCCCATATGAAGACAGGCTGAGGAAGTTGGGGCTGTTCAGCCTGGAGAAGAGAAGGCTGCGTGGAGACCTCATAGCAGCCTTCCAGTATCTGAAGGGGGGCTATAGGGATGCTGAGGAGGGACTCTTCATTAGGGACTGTTGTGACCGGACAAGGGGTAACGGGTTAAAACTTGAACAGGGGAAGTTTAGATTGGATATAAGGAAGAAATGCTTTCCTGTTAGGGTGGTGAGGCACTGGAATGGGCTGTCCAGGGAGGTTGTGAATGCTCCATCTCTGGCAGTGCTCAAAGCCAGGCTGGACGAAGCCTTGGGTGTCACGGTTTAGTGTGAGGTGTCCCTGCCCATGGGAGGGGGGTTGGAACTAGATGATCTTAAGGTCCTTTCCAACCCTAACTATTGTATGATTCTGTGATTCTATGATTCTATAAAGGTTAGGGATGACTAAAGAAATGTATGCACCAGTGCTTCTGCTCAATGTATCTTATACATGTCACACAAATTAGGGGCACGAATGGGTAAGAAATGTTTCTACAAGCCTTAATCAATGTCCTAGTTTTACACAGTCAAACAGAGCTAGTCAAACCAGTTACCTTCGTTTTTGTCCCCTGATTGACTGGGGCTCTCTCCTTGGTTGCTGGTCTCCTCACTTAGTGTAGTATGTATAGTAGCGTCTGGCTCTTCAGCCTCTTCTTCAGCAGCACCCTCTAGCACTGCATGAGGAAGAAGAGAAAAGAAAAAGGGAGTTAAGTTTTTCTGGAAGCCATTTTAGCAAAAATAAGACTACAGTCCTTTAGTCTGAGGGCTCCCCTGACTGCTATATGAAGTCTGATGAAGCATGTAAATAGTACCAGCACAGCCTACTCCCACAAGTGGCCAGGCACTGGGCTGGGAGATGTTGCTGCCTCTGCCAGTGGTGAAACCTGGGCAGACAAAGAAAAGAAACCCTTACTGGCTTGGTCCCCAGTATTCAGCCAGTAAAATCACTGACGGTCATGACATTTGGTTAAGAAGTTGGAAGAATATTCTGCAGCTAGAGAATTTAAGTAGTTCAATTTCACACACACACACACACACACACATATACGCACACTCCTCCCCCCTTCTCAGAGGATGAATGTTTACTCCAATACATGAATTCGTGGTGACCTTCTTCTTCCTTCTAGCACTGGTGAAGTGACTACTGAGGTTTCTGGGGCCATTTGGCACATTCCTTGCCCCCACTGCCCAAGGCTTCCAGATGAGCTGAAGACATAAGCAACCACCATATATACCGACAGAATTTCACCACACCCCTTTCTGAAACCACAGACTTATCATGCTATCGCTGGGGTTTCAAGAGGGATGCCTGTTCTGGCTGGGGAACGACAGGGCAGTTAAACATCATTTTTAGAGGTGACGGGGAATGATCAACCATGAGGAAGAGAGGAGTTCTCTTCCCATGGCACCCGCAGTAATAGCCTCTGGAAAAAGTTATTTGCAATATGGAAAATTACTGATACATTTTAATGGAGAAATACACCTTTACAACCTTACAAGTAAAATAGTCATGGAAATGAAGACGCTGGGGACATTTCATCACCTCAGATTTACAAACTCAGCAAACTTAATACAGGTTTTCTTTTTTTTCAAAAAGCAGAAGCCATCAGCCTCAAACTGTGGTTATCTCAGCAGGATTTCTTCCTTTAAAAAAAACCATGTTCTCAAGGATGACATGCAATTCAGTCACATAACACATCTTCAAATGCTGTTTGAACAGCATTTGCAAACAATAAATGACTACATCATCCCAACTACTGACATTTTAAAGCGCACAAGAAAAGGCAGACAAAGAGAAAGGGCCCAACTTGTGTCAAACAGCTCCTTACTTCACACAATGCCAGACAAAGCAGCAGATTCAAGCTTCCTACATTTAACTGCTGACCCTCCTAGAAGTAGCACACAGATGATTTGACATAGAGAGCTAGCACAGTCAAGAGACAAAACCTAGGACCCAACTAAGCCCTGTGTCTAAGGCTAACACCAACTTGTTAACAAACATTGCTTTCATTCTGCATCTTCAAAATCAGGCAGAAAGACTACTTTTATGCTACCCTGAACAACTCAAAGTAACTCTTCCCTAGTAATTTTTCTACTTTTCTTCTGAAAAAACACTAGTGGTCCCTGTGACACAGGGACTTTTTGATCCAAGGCAAGGCCAAGCACCCATCCTTCACTATTTTCTCCAGTAATTATGGGACATGTTTATTTTATTTTTTTGGCCTTAAAAAGAAAGGTCCATCTCATTGAAGAACACCACAGTAATTTCTTCTCTTTCTCTCGCTCCACCCTGTATCTTCTTTTAGCCATTTATGTGGCAGCTGACTTAATTTCGAACAGAATAAACAGAGTTACTTTCAAGAGTGGCCAAATCTTCCAAGTTGCTTGCTGTATCTGCTTAGTACCGCCAAAAATAAAGACCAGTTTAAATTATTTGGAGGGATTTCCGCTAAAACAATGCAACTAAGTGCTTAAAAAAAAACCAACCAAACAAAATAACTCTTCTTTCCAAAGCAGACCTATTCATTCCTCTTTTAGTCAATACCTAGGACATTAACGTCACCACTGATTCATCCAGGAAGAAAATCTATTGTGCAACCCTGAAGACTCCTGTGCTGGCCAAGGTAGCTGAGGAGCTTCCCAGAGAATTAGAGTCAGAATTCCTAGGGCTGCATTTAGCAACAGTGAAAACGGGAACTGTTTATCACATAGAAGAGGAATGAATACATGAACACATAAACAAACCTACCTCCAGGTTTAGGAACATATGCCAGCTTGTTCTCCATTCTTTCAGGAAGAAAACTATGTATTGTGCTGTTACAGCCTTTCATATTTTCTATGAACCAACAGTTATTTTACAATTTTCCTGCTAACACAAACCAAGATGTATAGTCACAGATCTTGTTTTTAAAACCATTTTCTGTACATCAAAAATCTCCTACTTTGGAAGCAGTCAAAAACCTTAATAGGTATTATTACTGTTGCATGCTTTTCTTTACATACATATTTTCTAATCTCTTGCATGAAGCAGAAATGAACCACTGAAACAAAGACAACTACATGAGCAGCACACACTGATTTCAGAAGCATAACTTTCTATTTGCAATAGGATATAGAAACAATAAGAATACTGGGCCAAATCACTCCTTCCTGTGGGAAAACCCATGGCAGAGTGCCTTTAGGCAGGAACATACTGAGATATTTCTCTTGCGGCCTTTTTCTTTTTTTTTTTCTTTAAATAAATGCATCACTAAGGATGGGGAAGTGGTTTTTTTCCCACAGCACCTAAGAAACTCAGGGAATAAGACAGGCAGCAACCAACACGGATGCCCTCTGCCACACAGCCTTCAGGACTGCAAGCCTTCTCAGCTCACACCAAATGCCCCTGCTTGGAGATCATGCTGATGGAGCCTTCTTCCTCCCTCTCTCCAAAAGAAAACAAAGACCTCCAGGAAAGAGGACAAAGAGGAAATAAGCTGGCAAACAGTGCAGCCTCAGGTTGCATTCAACACTGGACCAAAGCCTCTAGGAAACAGGCAAGTAATCACAAGCATTCAAGTCATTTTCTACTTTGAAGAAACCCCCCAGTGACACAGTTATCCTCTGTGAAAAAGAGGAAAAGCAGAGAGCAAGTGACAGAACAAGAGCACTAACATATGGCGAGGTGGGGGGACATAAACAACAGGACCAAACAAAACAATGCATCAGTCCTATTTTCACAGACAACACCAAGAGACCTGGCTCTTCTGCAGGAAGGTGTCTCCTCTACCTGATGATGTTGCTGAAACTATGAGACTGGGGCAACCTTGATCCTAGAGAGAAACCTGAGGGGCTTTAGCTCCTGTTTCTGACAGAGGCCCACTCCTGATGCCCCACATAACCAGCTAATGTGAGAGTTACCGAGAAAACAGAGAGCTAAAACAAGAAAAAAAGCCTTGTTGCTTCCCATTCAGTCTGTACAGGAAGACACTTGCTAGACCTATTTCCTCTGGGATAAAGTATGACTCCAGTGAATGCTAAACCTGAGCCCATCTTCCCCCCTTAACTCAAGTGTATTTATTTGTATTTAATTTTCTTGTTTTAAGACCACTCTCAACAGTTATAGCTGCTTCTCCTTCTAATGGGAGCATCAGGGATGAAACAAAAAGGAACACTGGTCATAGGGGAAGGAAGAAGAAGAAATGATGAGTCTTCAAAGTCACAGTCACTTGACTTGCTGCCGAGAGGCGGCTACACAAGCACAGAGCAGTACGTCCTAGCCCCTGGGAGCTGGTACAAGTCTCTGCTCCAGATTGCTCCACTGTCTTTGCACATGAGCTCTCCCTTTGGAATAGATAGGAAGAAACACACAATACAAGCAAGGAGGGGAAAAACCTGATGTGTAGCACAAAGCTGCTCATTGTTCCGCCTTCCGAAAAAAAATCCACATTAACGTTAAAGTAGAAGCCATGCACTAATTGGGCCAGGGAAAGATTAACACTCTCAGCCAAATATTTCTGTTGGTTTCATTAAACATGCCCTAGTACGTATTAGAGAACACGGAGGAGGAACAGGGGAAACAAATGACAGTTTTAGGAATGTGCACCCCCCCACAGATGCATTTCAAACCACTTTTTCCCGTGAGGACCAAACAGGAATCCTGAGCTGTCTTCATCATTTCCATCTTAGCAGCGCTATTAGCTTATTCAAGGCTTTCCCACTGTTGGGTTGTGTTTTTTTTTAAGTGGTAGGAAAAAAAACCCAAAGATCATTTAAATGAAGGCCAGACCTTCTAGTATACAAATTTAGATGAGAACAGAACTTCAAAGAGGGTATCGCATTTGAATAAACAAACTTTACCGTTTACCCTTGAGACTGTAATACCTAAGGATTGCTACACCGCACTACAAACTATTTCTGATGCACTGGTTTCCTACTAAGCTTCTACACAGAGATTTTACTCTCAGAGTACATGGTGCCAAGCACAAATGTTCATTACCACCCCAAGAGATGCACATGATCACCAGCACTCCGTTTTGAACGTGATTTTGCATCAAAGCTGTCAGGAAGGAAAGCGGGTGAGAAGGCGTCATGTGAGAAGAAAAAAGGGTTAACACTAATCAAAGCACCGCCTCAAGGCAAAGAAAAATGTTTTCCCAACTGACCTTTTTAATACCAACTCTGCCCTAGCTACTCAAGTGCTGGTGCTGACTCAGCACCCCAGTGGTAGAGAATTATACTGGCAGCATCACCTCACAGTCACCACTGCTGGAGCATCAGCACAGAGCAGCCTATGGGCAAAGGAGGGCAAGCCTAAAAGGAAAGACAGTTGCTCAGGAGTATCTGGTGGTAGTTTGGTAAAAGCCAAGAATGTTACTGCTAAGGTTTTGAACTTGTACCTGTAACTAATATTTTCCTCTAGGGAAAATCAAAACCAAACAAAAGAAAGATAGCAACCAGAAGGAGCAGCACCTCTTGAAAGGTGTTCTCCAAGCACCAAAAGACAGACTGTTCCTCTTGCTATGAACTCTCTGAGCTATCAGTGATAGAACTGCTTTATCTGTGCTAGAGCACTTGTAATACTCTGCTTTCTAAAATAACCCTACTCGTCCACAACATCCATATGCCTTTTCATACCTAGCATGTACACACCCAGACACACAATAAACAAGTGAAGCCCATGCTCATGGCCATG